AATACTATTCTGTACAAAATGGTAAGTTTTGATTATATTCTGATTATAATAATGATTAATTAATTCTCTCGATTTGGATTATGATATTTATATCTAATACGTGTAACCATTGTTTTCCAAGACCCTACCGGAACAGTCTTCCAGTCAAGCTGAAATGGATTTTCTTATGGAAGCTCTAATAATGAGGTAAGTCATGGTTTCACGTTAATTGATAGCAGAAAACTGTAATAATGAAGTAAGTCAGAAAACTGTAATAATGAGGTAAGTCAAGGTTAAACGTTAACTAATTGCAGAAAACTCTTAATAATGAGTTAAGTTAAGGTTACACTTTAACTGATAGCAGAAAACTCTTAATAATGAGGTAATTCAAGGTTACACATTAACTAATCACAAAAAATTATAATAATTAGGTGAATCAAGATTACATACTAACTAATAGCAGAAAACTTCAATAATGAGGCTAGTCAAGATTTCACGTTAACTAAGCGCAGAAAATTATAATTATTAAGTGAGTCAAGATTACACGCTAACTAATAGCAGAAACTCTTAATAATTAGGTAGGTCAAGTAATAGACAGAAAACTCTTAATAATGAGGGGAGTCAAGGTTATACGTTAACTAATCGCAGGAAATTATAATAATTAGGTGAGTCAAATTACATGCTCTGATAATGAGGTAAGTCAAGGTTACACCTTAATCTCATGTCAGAAAACTCGAATAATAAGAAGTCAAATTTAATTAACTAAAACAACCACATTTTTGGAATAAAATATTAGCACATGGATTATGAAAAGTGACGACACATTAAAGATTTTCTGTCCAGGTTAGATAGTTGTGATCAAAGAAAAAAATGTTATCCATTTTCAATGCTTCTTCCTGACCCTTTCACACATTCTGACGAGCCAATTTTGGGTCACGAATCATAGGTTGAGAAATGTTGTTCTAGGTTATATGTTAAGAGCAAACTATAATAAAGTCTAGGCGATTTAGATTTTGACCCTGATATTTCTAATGGATATCTCTAAATTTAATCTCAATAAGATTATCAAAACATTTCGTATTAAATGATTATCTTATATACTTTTATAGCAAATTCAACCACCCCAATATTGTCCAATTCATGGGAGTGTGCTTTGACAAGATGCCAAAATTTATTATACTGGAACTGCTAAGTGGTGGAGACCTGAAGACATTCTTGAAAGATATAAGATCTAAATGTGTGAGTACTTTCAAGTGCTGTTTATTAATTTATTAGCTAGTGCAACATAATGCATTCATTATCTTAACACACATGATAAACCAAGAAACTTAGTGAAATCAACACAGTAACGAAAGATGGATAAGAAAGTGCCTTGCATCTTCTCTAATATTTTTGTAACTTCACTAAGAAAACGTCATTCTTATTTTATAAGCTTTAAACAAAAATTCTAGGAATTTTAGCTACATCAACTGTTCATTTTGTGACCCAAAGAAGATTTTACAAAATAAAAATCTGACACTAAATAAATCTGGGTATAAACGTATAGGTAAAGATAAATCTGGGTATAAACGTGTAGGCAAAGAGAGAACAGCACATCATACATCTTTATCACTTAGTAAAGATGTATGAAAACATATACGGAAAACTACTGTAGGTGGCACTACAAGTTGACCTCAAAGTAGAGTAAATTTGATTCAATGTTAAGAATTCAGTCGCATTAGATGTTCCTTTTATTTCTAACAACAGACTTCAGACGAACCCAAAATTATTCGGAATGTTGAATGTGAGTTTTTGTTCAAATGTTAACATCGGGTAGTTGTAAACGTTTTACTATTCGACGAATGAATGACTGAGCTGTAATATCAACTCACACTTTTAACTGCACCTACAGAGCCACCTATGGCCGTGTTACGTATTAGAATTTCGAATAGTCCGAAGCCGTCTTTAACTGATAATTTAAATTTAATAGTTAAATTGTACTTTGGATTTAGTATTTAAATATATGCCGATATATATTAGTCAATTTACAATATTTGCCAACAAGATTTATAAACACCGTTTTCGTTTTGACACAAATACTTTTTAATATACACACAACAGTACAATTTACATTAACAGTTATTACAAATAGTTATTACAAACAATGATTTATAAACAGAAGTTTCACAAACTTACAAACAATATAAAGTTTTCTTTCTAGTCTGGAACCTCCCTGATATCTTATCGAGGATTCACGGTGAGCGAGTTAATTACGAGTTGATGTAGAGACGATCCGCTGGAAAGCTAGCTAGCTTTGTCCTTGGCCACACACACTAGGTTTTCCACGATGAATTTATGTCTTCGTAAAATTACTAATGCCCGATGAGAATCCACTGAAGTTAAATAATTTGTAACGTTCGAAATTTACAAATATCCCTGGTCAGATATTTTAAGTTTTCCGATTGATAAGCGTTATAACAATTACAGTTATAGCTTTCGAAGTTTTATAGCACACCGACATATAGCGAACTAATAATAGACACTCTCTTGGCGCGTCGCTTTAGTTATATTTATAGAGTGGGGACGTTTTCTAGAAACTTCAATCTTACGTAACAATACTGGTTAAAGCGTTTACATACACACATATATTTTTTTATTCTTACTCTCGAGAATCTTCTACAACTTTGGAGAATAGTCGGGTGTTGCGCAATACATATCTAACACTAGAAGCTATGCATGCTTTTAAATATAAACTCAATCTAAACAAGGCCGATATTAAAATAATTTAAAACAAATTCGTTACAGCCGTCTTTTTTTCAGAAATTTATTTCACACGTGTTTTATACATCTATTCCAACTGTATGTACTATGGTTCTCTGATCATTTACCGAAATGATTTTGCGTCGGTCTTGCATTATTTAGACAGTTTTATAGTCTGTTGCTTATACACCACTCTTAATTAAATAAACAAAAAATATCAGAATTACGATAACAGTAAAACATGTTTTTTTATCTTACTTATTTTATTTTTTGAATAACACAGATTTCATATCCAGTATTTTGACAGCAAATGAGAAACACATACTACGTCATAAGAACATATGAACACAAAAAATATACATAGAGAAACACAGATTTCAACAGAATCCACGAACTTGAAACAAATTTAATTGTATTGAAAACTGCTCATTATTTAGAGTAGACGTGTTGTAATGGTAATTGCAATTACCAGTAGTGAAAACGGAAAAGGTATTAATGTTTCCTGTCCTCAAATGTGATGGTGTGTTGAAGAGGAGTAGTAAGGTTACTAAGTATTTGACTAGTCTGCGCTGGCAAGTAAGTGCATTCATGTCCAGCTCGTGCATTAAGATGGTGTTTAACTGGAAGCCTCGCAGCCTTCAAACATGTATAACTAAATATACATGAACAGTAAGATGTTAGGATGCTATCTTTAGTGAAAAACAACATCTGCTTGGGATAGTACTGTTTTATAATTAAGTAGGTATCGATCTTAGAATGCATTACTAACAAGCCCAACTTTTTTGGGGAGGGGTAAAAATTTGCTTTTTCAATTTCTATCTGTTTAAAATTAAATAATGATTAACCTCTCCTGATTTGTTTTTTTGATAATTAATGTACAATGCCGCTCTTACATGTAATGCTAATGTACAAGTCTGGTAGATATTATTTTTCCCGATTGAACTTACTACGAACACATATTCTTGGTACAAACTTACTACGAACACACATTATTGGTACAAATTTAAGAAAACACTCGTATAATACAAAAGACTGCATTCATGTCAAGTACAAATTTTTAAACATTTTTGTTGAAGTCATAGAATTATAATGGTATCATGTAGATAATCCGATGCAAACTTCCTTAAGAATTAACATCAGGTGGGTCCTCAGGTCCTCTAGCAAAGTCACTTAAAAGACTTGTTGGCTTGCGTGTTGTTATGTGGAAACAAAGGTCAGAGATTGTTACTCGAACATCATTAACTTATTACGATTATGTCCAAATTATTTGTTTATTAGAGAATTTTTTAAACTAATATATTACAGACTCTCTATTCTTTTCATCTGTGGTGATTTTGAAAATATAATCTGTGACGTAGAGGTGTAACGCATTCTTAGATTGGCTGTATCCTCTGTTGATTGGCCGTACCCTTTGCTGCGGGTTGCAGTTTTGCCTTTTCAAAGCTCATCAGCAAACGAAATAAATATAATTTATATTCTGAATTTCTCTTTTGATCTGTAATATATGCACTAAACAGCTGTTCCACTGTCAATAATAATAGATTTGGTGCAATGTTATAATATTATTCATACAACTAAATCAGTTTAGGTTACTATATGGTGAATTAAAAAGGACTCAAAACCCCAAAACTATTTCTTTTAACCGGATCAATTATTTCTTTGACTGCAGAATAAACCTAATCTGTCTATGAAGAAACTTTTGACAATGGCTATGGATGTTGGTAAAGGTTGTCAGTATCTGGAAGAGCATCACTTTATTCATAGGTGAGAAAAACATATTTTATGTTTTAAACTTTTTATTACCCTTCGCTTAGATTATACCCACTTTCATATCAAGTGAGAAAAGAAAATTGGCTCTATTTTAGCAAGTAGAATCCATTACAAACAGTTGATAGTGAAATAGCAATGTTCTTAGTTTAATTTTACTTTCGATATTACCGTATTTTCATGCAAATAACCCATAGGATACATGTTAAATTGGTATTCAGAAATGCCAACTGCTTGGCATACTCTTGTGCAGGTAATACCGTATTTTTTTTCTTTGCTTTTAAGACTGAATTCGCCAATTTTCTATTCCGAATATTCGTTTATGTTGTTAACACGTGGAACGGTTCATCAATCGGCCGATAAGTACGTCTGTTAACAATCTCAGTTACTCTCTGGTCAAAGGTTAAAGTATAAATACAAATACTTTTGACTGTATTTATCAGTAATTGAATGGATTACAATTGCGACTTTATTAATTGCCAGACGAGTAGGTTTCACTTTCAGTGTATCCCCATAATCTTTAACCTGTGATTGGTTTCATCACGTTACATAACCACAGGGGATTGAGTTAAATTATCAACGAGATACAAGCCTTTTTCTGTAAGTTTAACCTTTAATAACAGTTCTTTTGCACATTTTACATGCATATATATAATTTGATATGAAATAATTAAATGACTTTAATAAACAATACAACATATAGTTTGTTTGTTTTTGAATTTCGCGCAAAGCTACACGAGGGCTATCTTCGCTAGCCGTCCCTAATTTAGCAGTGTAAGACTAGAGGGAAGGCAGCTAGTCATCACCACCCACCGCCAACGCTTGGGCTACCAACGAATAGTGGGATTGACCGTCACATTATAACGCCCCCACGGCTGAAAGGGCGAGCATGTTTGGTGTGACGGGGATTCGAACCCGCGACTCTCAGATTGCGAGTCCCACCACGGGTATCGAAACCCGGATTTTAGCGTTGTAAGTCCGCAGACATACCGCTGTGCCACTGAGTGGGGGCCTTTATAGGGAGAATTACAGTTAAACTTTCCAGAGATTAATGTAATTTTCTATTACTGTTCAAGAAAAGAAGTTTTTTTTTTCAAATGAAAATCGAACCTAAAAAAAGTAATAATGCTCTGCTTACGTGTAATACTTACGTTGAAATTCTTCTAGAAATATATTTTTTCGATTATCCTTATCGTGAATGTCTAGGTATTTATTATCTTTCATTTCGTAAATTGCACATACACAACAAAAATCTTTTAAGCAAATAAAAGTTATCTTTGGCACGGCTAGGGCCATCTATCGGTGAGCTTTAAAAACAACAAACGTTAGTCTTTTTTTATGTTTGTTTAAAACATATTTAATATTAATACTATTAATAGAAATACTCATCTTTAATAACACATAGATATTGAAAAATCAAGAGCAGGAATAATAGAACATACTTATTTTGCAAAAGTTAATTTAACGTTACAGCACAATTAACCTGGTATTTAAATCGTGTATGTTGGGAACAACTTGAGATTGATTCCATTTCTGGAAGTTAGAATATTTGTATAAAGTTCTATGAACTTCATGATAACTAAACATAAAAAAGTAAACATCATACGATGTTTTTTCTTTATATCATATGCCACAATGCTAACTATTCAGCAATAAATTACTGTATGCAAGTAATACAACCAAATGTTTTATGTAACGTGTAAAAATACGCCTGTATTTAACTAGCAGCAAACTACCGTATTTTTCGGAATATAAGACGCACCCTTATTTTGAAGACAAAGTTTTGGGGAAAAAAGCTACAGTCGCATTTGAAAGATTTTTATTGAACAAAAATTGAATTTGATACTTTAAAAATTAGTATATATTGTTCTAAACACAAAAGAGCTCAAAACATCAAAATAAGAAAATACCGCAAATCAAAAAAAAAAAAAAA